ATAGGCCGTCCAATTCATTTCTAATAAAAAACACTAAGCACTCTAGGATGATTTGAAAGACGAGCAATGGTCAGAAAGTGGCAGATGCGTTTTATATTGACAAATCAAAGTTCTAAATTTGGGACAGTTAAATAACCTGCCACATACAAACTAAAAATGAGATCTTAATACACTATTGCGAAAGGATTTAGGATTCGGGTTAGCAGTAATTTAAAACCAAAACAACAGTGCATTATGTTCGCAAAAAGCAACAAAATTCTTGTTTCATACTAAATATAAATAATGAATTATAGGTTTTCTTAAACTCAAATATCCTTGGTTAGCCCATTTAGACTATGCGCTCTTTTTCTGTCACCTATTACAGAATGGATAAAAAAGCTTGGAAAACGTACAGAGGGGATACAAAAGATATCCCATGTATAAAAATTTTTCCCTATGAGGTAACTGAGGCCCTAATCTGCACTCTCTCGAAAAGGCGTAGAATTGGGGGGGAAATCGAGGTGTATAAATAAAAACAGAAAAAAAAAGGGGGCTGTAAATAGCGTGCGAAATTCCAGCCAAGACAGGACTCGCGAAAGGGTTTTCAATTGGAAAAATTCAGTTTCAAAAGGGATATAGGAAAGCCTGGTTTGGAATAGATTGTGGATGAGGAAAAAGCTCCCGAGTCAGCTATTCAGGCTGAAACGTTTGTAGTTTTAAAAATATTTTAGATAAATACTGAGGGGGTGTGGGTGGGTGTGAGTTGGGCCGGCACTTGTGCGGGGTCGGGTGCGTGCTCCTTCTGAGTGGGGTGACCAAACTTGGGGTGGGTTTTTGGCAATCCGGGGGGGGTTTGGGTCAATCGGGGGGGGGGGACAGGGACCTTTTTCCACATGTTCCGCATGGGTCTAGGTCGTTGCAGTGTTCTTTCTTTTTTATGTTCTTATGTACAATTCCTCAAGTTGTGCAGGGCCGCCATAAGTCAATGATTCCTCGCAATAAAACAGTGCGTTTGCCGCCTTGGTAACTCTCAGCGGAATTGGGATACACCTACACTATGTAATTTTTCCAAGAACAGTTGTCTTGATTAGTATTAAATAAGCAGTCCTCTTTCAGAGAGAGGAGAAAATACTGCACCAGAGAGGGTTTGAAAGACGTGTCAACTGGTGCAAAAAATAGACCGTGAATAGTACAAATACGTCAGTATTTTTTTTTTCGTAGATTTCACGTTGTCCAGTGACCCGAATTTATACCCTCCATTCTTTCTCGTCATGACGCCCGGGAAGGTGCATCAGAACAACAAAGATCCCAGTAAAAAAAAAAAACAACTTTCCTTATTATCCCTCAACCACCATGAGTCAGCTGACCTATGAAGGTCAGCCCCTGGATAGCCTACCCTCGAGTGTGAGGGGAAAGGGCCCACGGCAAAGATGAAGCCGGATTTAAAAAAAAATCACACGGGCTAACGAAGGTCAAAAAATACCTTGTGTTAAACTCGCCCTAAGGCGAAGTTGCCCTGAAAAGTAAAAAGGGAAATTCAGAATGATAGCCCAAGCACCTAAAGCAGAGTGTTAGTGTGTGGGCCAAGTGTAAATGTTGGGTGAGGGGAGGAAGGGGAAGGATGAGGGGATGGGAAGGAGAGATAAGAACTAGCACGCTGGTCACCGCCCTTACCCTCTTGCAAGCAAGCTTCCTCTCAGCTCGGTCGAGAATTACCAGGATAACACAAGAAAAAACTTGGGGTCTCAGTGCTCAGAGCAGGAACGCAGACGTCCTCTCTCCATGGTCGGCAGTTTGAAGACCTGATGTATCTGTGTATCCGTAATCCACACTTGGTCAAGCACGTCAAAAAAATTAAGAAGGTGTAAAGGTTCGCAACAGGACTAGTCCCCCCGGCGTAAGGGGCATGTCAAGCGAGGAGAGTTAAATGAAACCGCCTAAGACAAAGGAGGACGAGGAGGGATAGGTAGGACTTGACAAACTACCATATAGGGGTAGTTTAAAAGATGTTTCAGAGATGGGACACAACAACAGTGGGTCACAACTGGAAGTTGACGACTCAGATGAACCACATGAATGTTTAGGAAGTAATTCTTTAGTCCCAGAGTTTTCCAGGAAGTTGAATTCCTCCTGGGAAGTGGATGTAGTGGAGGAAGGATCCATACATAGCCTTTAAGAAAAGATACGATAAAGCTCGTGGAGCAGGGAAGAGTACGCTTAGTTACCCGATCATGAAGATGCGGGGCCAGAAGCCTTGAATCGATCCCTGCAACACTAATAGGTTAAGTAAAATAGGTAAGCAAACATACACAGGTTACTGAGACAGACAGACCGACAGACAGGCAAAGACAGACAACACACACACACACACTATATATATATAAATATATATATATAAATATATCAGTATATATATTATATATAATATCTATATATAATATATATATAATATATAATATATATATATAGATATATAAATCTAAATTCTACTTTGAACGTACCACACCAGCAGCCGACTCCCACAGAGGCGGGTGGCCCAAAAGCGAAAAAAAACTACAGTTTCTCTTTTCTCCTGTTTTAAGAATTAGTAAAAACTACGGGCAGAAGGGTTACTACCCCTTGCTCCCGGCCATTTAGGTCGCCTCTTACAACACGCATGGCTTAACGGAAGAAGTCTGTTCCATTTCCCCAGTAGAAAAGAGGGCAATGAACAAGAACAAGAACTAGAAAGAAAATGGAAGAAAACACAAGGGGTGTGTAAATAAATGTCTTGTACATGTATGTGTAGTGTGACCTAACCTTTAAGTAGAAGTTAGCAAACGTACCTGAAAATTCTTGCATGTTTATGAGACAGACATAAGACACCAGCAATCCTATCCATCCTTGTAACACAAGATACAGGTTTTCGTTTTACACTTCACTTGGCAGGAACGGTAGTACCTCCTGGGTGGTTCTGTCACCAACTTCGGAGTATAAATATATATATATATATATATATATATATAATATATATATATATATAAATATATATTATATATATACGATCTCCTGGCTGAGGAGACCGAACCTACGACCTTGACAAGGTACGCAGTTTTTGGGGGGGGGGGCTATACCAAACTCCCAACCACACTGGACCAATACCTGAGTCCAGCTTGCCGCTAGACTTTGATCCAAGGCAGGCCAGCTTTCAGGGAGAAGGCTTACAGCTTTTTCATCTTCACTCCCTGCTTGCATCAGCCTTACTAGAGATTTTAACAATGGTCCCATGTGGGATTTGGTATAGCACTTGCGTACCTTTTTCCAAGGTTCGTAGGTGTCGAGTCTCCTTTCGCCAGAGAATCAGAGTAAGAGACATTGTGGTATATTTCCAACCCTGCTCGTGGCGAAATTTCCTTGCATTGATTAAAACTCTAGTAAGCTGCGGGCATGCAGGGGATGAGATTGAAAAGCTGTAAGGCCCTTCTCCCCTGAAAGCTGGCTGCCTTGGCTCACAGTCTAGTCGTCAAGCTGGTCTCCCAGTGTGGTGAATTTGGTAAAGCACTGCGTACCTTGTCCAAGGTTCATAGTTCGAGTCTCCTTCGCCAGAGATATCAGTGTTTGTGCATATTTTCGCCTGCTCTTGCGAATCCCATGCATCCCTTTCTGCCCCTTCACCCCGTCACCCCCCCACAGCTGGCGCCCTCTCACCCCCACGATATAAGCAATGTCACAAGTAGTCGCTGGTTTCCCAGAATCTTCACGAACAGAGCCAAAGCAGTCGTTCAACGAGGCCATTCCTGCCGGGTGTGCCACAGGAATGTGCCACACTCAATCCCACATTTGGCACATCCCGTGCACTACAATGGATTCTATGGGACTCCAGGGAGAATCTCCAAAGAGAACAACCAACAGCCTCCCCCAGCAGACCAAGGTGACAAGCTACACGTGACTTTCACCTCTACAGAGGACCTCAAATCTGCTATCAAAATCATCACCAACCCTGACACACATCCCCAAAGCAGCTCGCCCTCAAGCCTGCTAGCAAATTCACTGCCTTCTGCAAGAAAGTCAACGATGCTCCTTCAAACCATAGATTCCTGCACAACTAGCTGCTTTTTTGGCATGGCCTGTTTTTGACTGCCCACCAAGGGGGACAAGATCAACTAGCCAACACATGTTATTAGGGCAATAAATGCATTCCCAAGGGATGACAACCTCGTCCTCTCCCCCCTAGGGCGGAACAAACACCCGCCGGTCAAATGCCAACATCAGACACACACAAATCCCGACACCTCAAAAATCAGAGCCCCAAAATTAGCAAAAAATAGAGAGGGTAAATGCTATTGGAGCTCTGAATTAATAACCCAGTGGGATAACCCTCCGCTTCCCAAGGACGGTCAGCAACGGACACAAGCACTGAAGGAATCAAACATCCACACAGGCTCCCATAACCACATTGACCTCCCTGACATTGCAGCAGCGAAGAACATCTAACCTTAACATGGATGCTGATGTGTATAAAAGCTTGCTATGTCATTTTTCCACAGGGTTCAGCAGTGAGATTCCACCGGTTTAAAAGCTCAAACCTTAAAACAAATACTCATCCAATCAACTTGGTGAGGTTTCAGAGAGCCTGGCTGTCTGAACTCCACCAAATTTTCTCCAACCTGTGCCTGGTGGGCGGTGTCCCAGAGGCCATCAGGAAACAAACCCCTTTTTCTTTAGGTGCCTCATTGTGTGCCCTCAAAAAATGGAGGGGGGAATCAGGCCCATTGCAGTGGGTAACACCCTTCGGCGCCTAGTCGCCAAGCCTGCAGTAAGAAGGGTGATCAAGAGGCTGCTGCAATCTGAGAAACCAACTCAGCTCGGTTTCGGGCAGTTCAACAGGCTGTGAAAGAGGCAGCAGCTCACGCAGCTCGAGTATATATCAAAAACGATGTCCTATGAAAAAGCCTTGGTCAAATTGGACTTTGCCAATAGCATTCAAAACTCAGTCAGAAGGGATGCCTGCTCTCCAAGCCGTATAAAGAAACTTTCCTTCCCTTTATTCCCTTCCATAGAACGTGGTTATAGTGTGACTTCCAAACTAATTGCTTGGGGACCATGAAATTTACCTCGTGTGAGGGCGTGCAAAACAGCGGACCCTCGCGCCCCCTTTTCTATTTTGTTTTGGTCCTCAAGGAATCCACGGAGGCACCTCCAGCGACTCAATATCTGGTTCCTGGACGACGGTACCTTAGCCGGCACAAGAGAAGCTCTCCTAGAGACATCAGTAAAATTTACGACATGGAGAAACCTGGGCCTTTCTTTTAACACTCAACAAATGTGAAGTAGTTTTATCTACCAATCAACAGATGACCAGAATATTAGTGCCGTTTTAACCAGAGCAACGAGCCATTGATCCAGCCAATACACTCTCCTCTCACGTGGCTCCTCCCCCCTTGGGTCCAATGCCATCGATCTGATCCTAGAAAAAAAGTCTCAAGACATCCGGACGATGGAAAGCAGGGATGAAAGACAAATCGACACAACGTGCCTTCTACCTACTTCACCAGGTGCCAGTCAATTCCCAAAACTTACTATTTACTGAGATGCTCCCCAGCCTCACAGTCCCAAAACTCAAGGAATATGACTCTCCCCCACCTCCTGAAGGCCATGCTAGAGAGTGTAATTGAATCTTCCCTTGACGATGGACAAGTGGTTGCAAGCCTCCACATTCCGGTTCAGGCTTGGAGGGCTAGGAGTCGCAGATCCCCCAGATTGCTCTACAACCAGCTACTTTCCTATCGTCCGTTTCCCATTGCATCAAATGAGTTGGATAAACAAATTCTTCCTGCACACCCTCAAGTGACCAGCAGGAATAGAAGACCCAGTGCCATCAACCGAATGGGAGGACCTCTTTGCTGCTCTCTTCCAGCAAACCAAACCCTAGTGCAGCACTGGCTCACAAACAGTCAAGCTGGGATGGCCCAATGCTGAAAAGGCACTTGCCAACATGCTCAGCTGCATACATCAGATAGGGAAGATTGCCGGTCTCCAGGCTATGAGTTGCACCTCACTCCGGGGACTTCCCCAAACAGTTCCCATATCGGCATTGGGAACGCGACTCGCCCCTAAGACCCTCCGTATTGCAGTGGCTCTGTTCGCCTTTTTTTGGGGGGGCTGCCCCAATTCACACAGATAATGTGTATTTGCGCGAAGTGCAAGCAGACCCATACGGTCTACATGGTCCTTAAAAACTGTTCCAAAACCAGGGCTGGCATGCAAGACACAATGAGGTTCAACGACTATCATTAAGAGAAACACCCTTGCTACAGCGGATCCCTGCCAGAGGAGCCACAATCACTTGCAAGCAAACAATACCCACAAACCCCGCAAACCCAAAACCGCCCCGACGGGATTCACCATCCTATCATTGGAAGAATGGCAATCTCTTAGCAAGGGACTATAACCTTTGAGTCCGTGCACTGGCTGACCCTATATCCATCACAGTGTGGGGCGACAGGGAGGAGCTGCTGACCGACAGGGAGGATTACAAGATCAGCAATTTACAGGGACATTAGCCAACAGTATCAATTTGTCTCAGTGGGATCAGAGACCTTGGATCATGGAGAAAATATGCCACAACGTTTCCTTAAAGAATTGGGTCCAGAAGACTCAATCGACACCACCAGGGCCCCAAGGGCAGCCACTTTCATGTTGCAAGCGCCGCACCCAGCTTATTCCAGAGGAAATGCTTGCTGCATACTTGGCTCCCTCCAGGCCGTCGGAGGAGCTGGAGGAATTTCATGATTTCTTTCTTTGATACATTTGCCATGGTATTCCTTGTTTATGTTTTTTTTTGTAAAAGTATTTGATTATTAATAAATTTCACAAGAAATAAAAAATATATAGGGGTTGTAGAGAATAAATATTCAAACAGCTCCCGGGGAGAATCCTTGAGTTATTCCCTGAGGTACGTTTTATATTTGTTTTCTCTGATGATGACCCCTCCAAGGAAGGTTCCTTGATGTTTGGTGAGGGGCCTCTGACTTTAGGTAATTGGATCTGTGCTTCAGTTCCCCCCGAATTTAAGCCTTGAATGCCTTCCACATCCCCCCCCCCCCCCAGGCGCTGTATAATCCCCGGGTTTTAGCGCTTCCCCCTTGATTATAATAATAATAATTCTCTGAGGATGAGGGTCCCCATTCCAGCTATAGAGGTGGTACTTATAAAAAAAAAATATATATATATATGTCGTGCCGAATAGGCAGAACTTGCCATCTTGGCTTAAATAGCAATTCTCATCTTGCCATAAAGACAAGCGAAAATTTGTGTATGTAATATTTTCGCCAAAATCATTCTTAACCTAACGAAAAAAATATATTTCACTGTGTTTGCTTAGTATTAAATATTGTAACAAATCAAAATATATGTAGATGGGTGAGGCTAAAATAAATTACTCTTGTTATAATAAGGTTAGGTAAGTTTTCAAAGATTCTTTTGGTGCAAATTTTATAAATTTTTACAAAAAAATTAACATTATTGAAAAAAATAAAATCT